TATAGAGGCCCACAGTTATACATCAAACGAATATTTTTATACATATTTTCACAAGTGCATTTTTCTGTTTGGGTTTTTAAAAATCCCTTTGAAAAGTATGTCTGTTTAAAACAATACTTCACGCTGGTTTGTTTGCTATAGATAAGTGCGCTCTCAGCTTGAGAGCAAACATCTTTCATTCATTTTCCAGGAATTCAGTTGTGTCATCCTAGAAATGTCCACTTCATTAAGATACGAAGTAGGCTGCATAGCGCATGGGGCCCTGTGTTAAATTATGCTGAATTCAAAGACCCTTGTCACCCGCTTCTTAGCACTGAACGTCAGATGCTAAGAAATGCATCTAAGCCAAACTGATAGTTTTCACATTTCAGAGAATCCCCCAGCATGCTTTTGGGTTTCTCAGTAAGTGTGTCCCGAAGGGGAGAGCATACGAGCCATGTGCATCATTATCTTTATTAATTATGTTATTTCGACTCTGTCAAATCAGCATTTTTCACTTGTATTTGTGTTGATGCTACTCATGACGGCCCATTTGGAGTGTCTCACGCCAGCAGGTGCTGATACGGGCTGCTAACTTCGCTTAAACCCCCCCCCCCCCCCACAAGTTCTGCCCAAAACCTCTGCCCTGGCCGTCTGGCCCTAATGCTTTTGAGCTGGGGGAGAGGTGATCCAGGGATTCTGGGAAAAGCGTTTGTTTTCCGGCGCCGAGCGTGCTTCAAAGATGGACAACGTGACGTGTCGCTAATCGTCTCGACACCGGAGGCAGCGCTCCGACGCCGGACGAATATGTTTACGTGAAGAATGTTACAAATGGCCAAGAATCTGTAGCTAAATAAACAAACGCATAACTGGCCGAAGAGCAGAATTAATGACTGAGTGAGGAAAGAGTTTAACAGAATGCGATTTATCGGAATACTTTTAATGCGACTAATGTGGATTTCTACTAATTTGACTGGCCATTTTCGGCGTTGTTAATGAGGCCCTCGAAACTCCAGAGATTAGACCTCGTCCTTCACAGGGCTGTAAGCAATCTGTCAAATTTCGTGCAGCATCTAACTTCTCGGCCTGCAAAGTTTACTCTGCTACCTGGAATTTAAACAATCTCCGGGCTGAGATAAGATTGATCAAAATAATAACGAAAAAGACTGGATCAGGTTAAGAATGTAATATGATCACCAGCTCCCTCTCGGGGATCAACTCCTGTCTTTATCTCATTTAGGGAAATAATTATGGCACCATAGCTAACCAAAAATCAGATAATGCAAATAATGAAATAAGTGTGACTGCAGAAGGTAACAAGGGTTAATTTTGTATGTGTTATCACAGGTGTACTCTGTCCTCTCCTGCTTTTCCAGGGAAATCGAGAATTATTAGTGTAAAGGTCAGTGCGAATATTTGATTACACACCATCCATGCGTAAGTACTAAAATGAGGTGGCATGGTACATTTTAAGGTAATTTTTACGGCCTGAGTTCTGGGTTGAGACAAAGCAGACTGTAACTTTATATTGTTTTATTTAACCAAAACGTTTTAAGTAACCTTGGAGCGAAAGTGTCATTATCGCAGGCCTTATGCGACCAATTTGTATCGAAAGTACACTTTCCTACCTCTGGCAGAACAGAAATATGTGCCCCTGTGTTTGTGCGTTATAAATATATCTGTCTGGGTCGTACATTTCCAAGACATGGAAATCTTGTTCCCCCCCCAAGATACATAAATACGGGTAAGTAATTATTTAGTTGTACTACAATGGATTTTTAAAAGAGTCTCATCTTTCAGAATCAAACTTTCAATTAAATTAATTTAGACCGATTGCTTGTTTTTGGGAGCATTTAAACTTGGGTTCCCCAAACCGCCCCCCCTCCATAAAATTTTATACATTCTAATATGCTCTATTTGGAGGTCCAAGTTGTGTTAGTTTGTAAAAATAATTACAACGTGTAATAAAATTGCGAATGAGTGGCTAAAGTGGTCTTTGATCATGCTTTAGCTTGTTAGCAATTGACTTGGAGATTGCACACTTTGATAGGCAGCTAGGTAGCATGAAGGAGACTGTTCTTTATCCCAGGCATAAATCTGCGAAGCCCTGCGTGGACCATATATTCATCGTGGCAAGCGTTCCTACGCATATTCAGTCAAATAGCCGCACGCTAGGGGCCACGTTTTACGGAGTCTCTGGACCATGGGAGGAAACCCATTAGAAAATGAGAGGAATGTACAATCAGACAGAGCTGTGGCCAAATAAAAACTCAGCGATCTGGAAGTAAGAAGAGGCAAAGCAGCCTCCTCAGCCACTGATGTGTTGGGGGGGGGGGACATGAACGCACAGTAATTCCAACAAAACATTCAAGTCCGGGGGCCCCTAGAATATACATTTCATTGTTTCCAGTTCACGTGCTAACTGGACTTCCCCATCGGTCCAGCCTTACATGTGTTCCTGATTAGCATAAACGAACGAGCAGCGAATGGCAGAAGCGGGATTAGCGGCGGAGTCGGAGCGGTCCCAACGTTCTCCGCTCTCACGCACGCTCGGCACCGTCGTCTTTGCGGCGACCCGCGCGCGCCTGGCATGAATTAGCTACCCGGAGCCTGACGTCATGACGACGGTGTGGCACATTGGGTTAGCAGGTTAAGGCCCCTGGGTTGGAATAGTGTTCCTCTCTTGGTTCCTCTATTGGCACAGGTGTGGTTTGCTAGCTGAATGCTTATTAAGCTGTCACCACTTTACCTCCAAGGTGGGACTAATAATTCCCCCCCCCCTCCTTCCCCTCAGCAAAGTGGTTCTTAGACCTGAGAGGCTGTTCAGGGGAAGTAATGCTGTTTAAACATTCGCAGCCACTGGTAAGCTGGAAGGAGCGGCGAACGGAGATTTAAGACGTGCCTCATGTGGCGGAGGTAAAGGCGAAAGAAACTTCGCTACCTCATCGGATTGACACAACTCGATTACTCTGTGAAACACGAAACAGGGGAAGAGGTCTCCAAATCGAGTAAACCGAAGCCCTCTCCAATTAAACTGTTTAATTCCAACAATTAAGATGAATGAGAAGTAATTACCACATATTTTCGTCGGTGGTTTCTTTTTTAGCTTTTTATTATACACACACACCGGTTTCCATAGCAACCAGAGTTACGTTAATCACTGTCCGTACCTCAAAAACAGAAGAGAAAAAAAAAAAACGATCAGACACTATTGGAAACCTGTGGCTTTCAAATTATAGGGTTTTACTTGAAATATTACCATACACTTATTTTATACCGTATTTAAAATTTGGCTCAGTGTGAGAATGTTCCACCTACTAGAAAAAAAATACGGCTACATAGCTGAAGCATTATTTTCTAGAAGATCTATGTTATCATTTTTGAGACTAAGAATGGCCACAGAATGTAAAATTATGCGTGAATTCTGGATCTTTGGACACCCACGTGCTTATCATTTATTCGCCGCCATCTGTGAAATATTCATTTGCATCATGCAGACACGCTACACTCATGAGGTTAATGAAATCAGCCTAATCTGCTAATAATTACACCCAAGATTTCCCGGCATCGAAATGCCTGGTGGCTGTTGGCCATTGACCTTTCAGGGGGCGCCATCTAGTGTCGGCACTGGTAAATAAAAGTCAGCCTGTTGCACGCTGTAGCATTTTCGAGGCTGAGAAAACAATAAGAAAATGTAGTGTTTGTCAATTTTTAACTGGCAAATTGAAACTACTAAATGATTTTAAACATACAAAAGCACAATACAAAGCCTGCTACCAGTATTTTAGCAGTTTTATTAATAATGCATTAAATCTTAATATAAGAACCGTCGAAACCCGAAACAGAATGTCCTCACAATGTGATAAAAACATGATATTTTGTCCTTGTGGGGACAATTTCTCAGTCACCACGAAAGGGATTTTATAAAAAATCTGTGAATGTGATCCAAAAGCTAAAAATTCCAGAACTCTTGCATTTTCTTTGGTTACTTATGGTTAAGGTTAGGGCTGGGTAGGAGTTAAGGTTGTCATTGTTGGGATTAGGGTTATGCCCATATAAATAAATGGAGAGTCCCCACAAAGATATGAGTACAGGTCTGTGTGTGTGTGTGGGTGTGAGAGAGGCAGGGGTGGGGGGGCAAAAACAAGTATGAGGCCTGAGATTTCCACAGAGGGAAACAGCTTTGTGAAGCTTCCAGAAAGTTCCGGCGGGGCATTGGAAAGACGCTGATACCCACAGGGTGGTTTGTGTGACGGTGGAGGTGGGAAAAGTGGAGAGATGGAATGGGAATAGGGCACATGGTCAGACACCCCCCCCACCCCCCCCCTGCCGTGTGAAGGGGACAGGAAGATCCCACCCACCGTGGTGGGTTACGCAGACAGGGGGGGTGCAGGAGGCCGCTCTGCTGCAGCCAATCAGAAGAAAGGGTGGGGGGGGGGGGTTCTCAAGAAGAGAAATGTCGATCGTTCAGTTTGCTCCTCCGCGGATTTAAAATAGCATTCCTGGTGCAGTGGATTTGGGAAACGGCTCGCGGCCAAAGTCAGGAACCACGACAGGTGCCTTTCCGGAGCGCGGGTCACCCGCAGTGCGCGGCAGTGTGGCCATGTGACCAAGGCAGCCGCTTGTCTCCGCGCCGAGATCGCAGTGTGCCCCCGTCTCCCCATTTCAAGGTTCATTTGGCCATTTTTACTGTTTTATTTGACTCATTCCAGGTTGGCGGGACACCTGCTATGTGTTCCCCAGCAACCCCCCCCCCCCCCCATGTGAGTACCAAGGCCAGCTGGCCCCCCGTCCTGTTACTCACATGGAGAACATTCACATGGGTCTTCTCACCTCACCTGACCCCAACATCTTCTCTGGAAACTGTAGCAAGGCAAGTGGGGGGGGTCGGTTTGGGGGTGCGGCTTGGGCAAGAACGAGCATGGTTCCTTTTTGGGTGATTGACAGCTGGGTGCAGGGGGGGGGGGGGTCACAGGCAAGTGTTCGTTACCTTGCAGCCCCCGGGGAGGTGAGCGGTTGGTTCGTTAAAAGAAATATGGGTGTTGAGAGAAAGACTTCACAACCCGCTGTGGGTGGGATTGTGGTGCTTTGTCAATCACTGGGAGGCGTAACCCTGTGCTTATTGGCTCCCATTCTCTTAAGAGGCAATGATTGACAGCATGTCCCACCTATCTTAGGTTTCAGGTTTTCAGCCCCTGTTTCTCCCATCGCTGTGAAAGACCTGAACAAGACCTTCACTAGGAGGTATCAGCCTGAGGAGTCTAGGTTAGCAAGCTCTGACTAGGCCTCCCACTCTGATGGAGACCCCAACGCAGCTACGACAAAAGGAGGCCGAGGATGAAGAATGAGACAGAGAAGGCTACAAAAATAAAGGAAAAAAAGAGAGGAAGGTATGTTCTGTACCAGGGTATGAAGACTATGGAGCAGGCTACCATACCAACACGGCTCGGAACAGGCTGGCAGTGAGGGCACAGGGCCGAAAGCGAGACCCTGTGCCCCCTCAAGGTGCCCAGAGGTCTGACATCACGCGAGGAGAGCGGCATCCCCCGACCAGGCCGCCCCGGCTGTTTCGCCCCACAGGTCTCGCTTGCCGATCGGCCGGCTGGAAAAATGAAGTGCTCACTCTCTTATTTCCCTCTCTCTCTCTCTCTCTCTTCGTTCTCGATTAACAGGCTTGCTGGAGATGTGGGATCCCACCAGATGTGGTAACACTTACTCCTACCTGAGGATCCAGGGGTGCTCGCATTCAAGGTCACGCCGGGGGGCTGCTTTAGTCATTGCTCAGATATCCACTGGGTTGCCCGCCCGCCCTGGGTTGCCCGCTCTCCACCTAATTGCTGATGGATGTTTCTTGTTACTTTTTGCCCCCCCCCCACAGGGTGATGCATATGCAGTATTGCGGCCATTTTGGTTCTCTTGTCCTTCTCCCTCTCTCTTGCTGATGTTCTCCTCGCCGGGCTGCCGGGCTAAATCACTCGCAGCAGACTGCGCTCCCCTTACCTGCCGCTTGCACATGAAACCCGACACGCGACGCATCAGACCACCCCTAACCCCTTGGATGCGGGACGGGGGACATCTTGGCATTACTTCAGACAAAGTGAACATTTCGGCAAGCATGTAACACATTCATTGATGAGTTAAAAATTCGCTGAGAAATTAGTGTTAGCCGTAAGTTCAATAATACCCTACGCTCTGAGATAATGAAAATCCGTTCACTGACCTTTTCCTGTATTACTGGTTGTTAGAAGTGACTTAAGGGAATGAAATGAATGTTACAATGGCAAAATGACTCCTCTATGCTGACTTGTTCACCTGTGCTGATGTCACAACCATGCCAGCGATGGAGGGTCTACAAAGCTTTGAAAACATTTCATTAGTCATGAGGCGACTGTCAGATTTCTGACTGGTTCTTCATTCCAAACTCAACTTCATGCTGAATATCAAGTCTATTTTACAACCTGAAATGTTACGGTCTCAGTGCTGTACTCACTATTAGAAAAATCAGAAAGGGCAGTTTTGGAAAAAAAACACTTCATAGATCACAGTCCTGGAGTTTTCTTGAATCTGAGCAGATCCCCAGCCCAAAAAGTGGGCCAACCCAATTAAATATGACTGATTTCCATTCAAAATGAGCATGCATATTAAAAACATTACATCCTATTATGGAAATGTTTAAGGAAAAATGATTCCCAATCAGGTAAAGTCGTTAAACAGATTGTATGCAAGGGTTGTCTAACAGTACTTTTATTTTGTCAAAAGGCAAGGTTCTGTTCTTGTGAGAGAACAGTGAATATTTGCCTGTCTGCCCTCTGCATTTAGACTCGAATCTTAAAATTTGCATTGCATAAATTAGGACTTTGTCATCCTATTCATTTGACTTCCTCTGCGGGCCCCTGAAATTTGGCTCCTCCCAAGGTTTCTTCCTTCTAGGGAGTTTTTCCTCGCCACTGTCGCCTCTGGCTTGCTCACTGGGAGCTTTGGGCAGAGATAATGTAAAGCGCTTTGAGACAATGCAATGTTGTGAAAATGCTCTATACTAATAAAATTTAATTCAGTGTAATATTACCTTTCCATTTTCTTTGATTGACGGCATTGTTACGTGTGCGACATGTGTTGCGGGGTGTGTGTCCTGAAGCCACGAGACTGTCGGTGTCGCAGTACTGACAAGTCCTCAAAAAGCAGAGGAGAAGCAGGACAAAGACTCTCGAAGTCACACCCCCTATAGGACACGCCCCTCTCTGGGACACGCCCCCCCCTGACCGCCGCCCACAGGGGCTTTCCACTGGGGACTTGTGAAGCCAGACGCTCCCAGGGCAGGCCCCAGATCCGACGTGTTTACAGCGGAAAGGCAGGCCGTCCAGCTCTGACATTCCTCTCCCACCGCCGACATGCCAGGCGGGCTCTGGGGCGAGATGAGGCCTTCGGGAATGACGGCCTACCTGCCAATTTAGCGGCCTGCAGACGTTAAACTGGAATTATGGCCTCCGAAGATCCATTTATATTACACACACACACACACACACACACAAACACAGTCCTGTAATCATATCTTTTTGGGGACCGCTCATTCATTTCTATGGGGAAAATGCTAATGCTAACTATGACAACCTTAACCCCAACCCAGCCCTAACCATAACCATAAGTAACCAAACAAAATACAAGAGTTTTTGCATTTTTAGTTTTTTCATTGCAGTCACAGATTTTTATAAAATAGAGTTTTCCCTTATGGGGACCAGGAACCCATAAGGTAAAAAAAAAAGACATTTGGTCCCCACAAGGTAAGGTATACCTGGACCACACACACACACACACACACACACATTTTCCCCTAATGTCCACACAATTTCATTTGATATTAAACACACTGTTGATAAATTCAGCAAACCGACAGAGAACGGAGGACAGGATGGTGAGATTGCGGGAGAATCGTAAAACGCGAAGGCAATCCTTGCCGCAACTTACTGTAACTGCTTTGCCAGCTGACACTGTCACCCAGGTCCAGAGCCTTTACTACAGTAAGACTCGTCACTGGAATTTGCTACGGAGTCACTGGAGTCAACCCAACCGTAAAATCAGACTGACAGCCATCTTCCTGCTACACACTCCCTGTCAGTTCCGTTTTTGTTTTTTTTTTTTATTTTTGATGAATACTGCACACTCATTCGGGCTTTGAAAAGGAACCTCAGATTTATTTGCTGAGTTTTGCATTCGATTTTAATGCCCAGTTGTACATTAATGTCTGACAATCATTCATGTGTCAAGTCATTCATGCATTAAAAAAATGCTACTGAAATATGCGTTTTGAACATGATTCTCACCATAGGGAATATTTCCTGTAGAAAGAGCTAATCTTCACACTCGGTGAACTTAAAGGCAGTTCTTCAGTGTCCACAGAGAGAGAGCAACGACAGAGAAGGCGCCGATTTGCATTAGCAGAGGCTAGAGCGCCACCCGCTGGACAAAGCTGTGCTCCTGACTGCAGACGTATCTGTAACCCGAGTGGACGATGGACCACCTGTACCTCATTCATTACCAGATTTAGCACCGCGGTGCTTTCACTCAGCCACGAGAGGAAATGATATCTGTCAACATGGGGTGCGTTCCAAAATCGTCACAAGTCCGCTCATTGATAAGGTTCAGTCTGTTGGCATTTTTTTTTTAGCATGCTGGGAGCATTTTCAGCAGCGCAACAGTCAACAAAGCCAACCGACGTGTCAAACCGTATTTAGCTTACAGCCGTCTGACATGCAAACGCCCACTGCACATAAGTTTTCATTCTGCGTGTGGTCATATAGTCATTCTTCACATCGGAAACCGGCAGATGCAAAAACAACTCTTTGCGTGCGTTCAGGCTCTTCCCACAGCTTGGCATGGCCCTTCTAACTCCGTGCGATGTCTTATTTATGAGATGTTTCTGTTTCCATTTCCATAGTGTCTACAGTACCCAATTATTTTTTTCCAATCCTGAGACGTAAAAAAAAAAATCCTGTTTGACTGCTGGGTAATATTTTGGGTTTGGAATTTGATTATGGTTCTCGATGCTGGGTTATTCTAAGCCGGATGAGCTAGTATTTGAACGTCATTAGTGAGTGCCTTTAATGAGTACTTCAAGTTAGATTGTACCTAAGCTTATGGCAGACTTGGGTGGACTTCTTCTCCTCAGTTGGAGACAGATTGTGTCGGCAGAATGTAGACAATGTGCAGAAGTGATCTGCACTGCATACCATAGTTTGATTGCTATATATATATATATATATTTAGTTAACGGCCAGAATATTTTTTCATACCTCTTTTAAAACCTCTAGGTTTTATAACAAGCAGAAGTATTCTGGCAAACACACACACACACACACACACACACACACACACACACCTGCAGCATGTCAAATGGAGATCTCTTGCAGGAAAACACCATAATTGCTCCCAGCTGTATCACAGTTCACGTTAAAGTACTTCATCCACAGCTCCGTTTTTAGTATTTTATTCAAAAACACATAATAACGTGATGTAATAGCATGTTCAGTCCCGTAGCAAAAATATTCTAAATGTACCTGGATTACGATTCCTGATTAATGCATCATGTACACATTCTTTGTGGTATGTAATAAATCAGGGGATTAATAAACTAATTGCTGGAAAATGAATGCAAATCTTTAAAGAATATAGAAGCCAAGTCCTTTTTCCCGCAAAATGCTACTTTGGAACTAAAGACAATGCAAATGTTATCAATTTATTAGCTGACTGTCCTACTAAGTCTGACTCTGCATTACGTTATCAGATACATTTACTAAAACAGAATGTTGTTCTTGGTGAGACGTAATTTCGCTGCGTGGCTTCTGACCCAAACTCAAACGGCTGATGACTGAACATTGGATAAGCTTCAGAGATGCAATTCTATCTTCACTGCACTTTCTGATAAAGCCTGGGGTGGTGTTTGCTCTTAGCTTTGATGGGATAATGCTGGACAGGCTTGGCATCTGGAGGATTGTGTGTTTCAGCCCGACGTCATGGCTCTGTGACTGGTATATGCAGGGGTTACCTGTCACAGTCCGTTAGTGAATTAATACAAGTTGTGTTCGAGTGTTTTGAAGGACTGGTGTGCAGTTCAGGCTCTGTCGCACTGTACCCTCCACGATTCAATCCACGGCTCAAATTACTTCAATCCTAAAACCTTCCTCACACTTCCGCCTCTTTCACTCAACCCCAGTACTTTAATTGCCCATCGATGCAGTTTATTGACTAAGGAGTGAATCTTCTCTCGTCATCAGAGCGTAACTGTATCGTATTTTGAAGCTTTGAATGAAATCGATGCTCACGGCTGCCGAAATCGATGCTCACGCCAAAAATGGCGTAACAGTACAAATTATCAGAGATGTCAGTTGCTGGGCACCGTCTTGGGAGCAAAGACAGCTTGATGAATGATGATCTTGTACCAGGGGCATGTCTGTGCAGACCTACTGTAAGTGAATCTTCTTCCCACCCAACAGAGACAGACTGAATTTAACCAATCATTACTGATTTTATAGAATCGTCCCGAAATTATTACTTGCCAGGAGACCTCACAAGACACAATTTGAACACTGGTCCCCGCCCAACACAGCCATTCAGCCGCCCCATGATGGCATCCTGGTAGCGCCACTGCCTCGTATTGGACTATTTGTGTCATGACCTGCTCGTACGATCCTCGTGTGTGCCACGCCCCCTCATTACCTACGCATGCTACCCCGATCGTGATCACCTGTTGCCTGTTATTTTCTGCTTGTCTTGAGTGTTTAGTCCACGTTCAAGTCTGTTTCCCCAGGTCTGTCATTAACGTGAGTTTGCCGTGTGCTCCCCTTTGTCCTCTCCGCCCTCAATAAACCCCGTTTGATAGTGTTCATGGCTCTCTCGCCTGATTCCCCGCTCGCCCGACACCTGGTCATCACAATTTGGTTCAACAGCACTGCTGCCAATTGCTTGTGTTGGGTGATTTTTCGACCAGTTCTTTTGTGAATTAGGGCCACACTTTTGTGAATTAGGGCACGATTTTGCGATCGAGGAGCCAAATGCGAACATAATATCATAGAGAAGGAGGGCCGTGTTTTTCAAAACCCTGCGAAAAAAAAAGATTTAAGCGGTTTGACATTCACTCCATGACACCTCAGTCTGGTAACGACAACAGCAGCGTTCGCTATCGCGTTTTTGTTATCAACGTAACAATTGCATCCCAGCATGTTGTTACGTGACAATGAGTCACTCGCTCCACATACACTTTTTCCAAAATCATTACTTTTATTTATTATGTTATCCTTTACACGGGATTTCACATTCTATGCAACAAGGAAACGTCGTTTTAATGAACTTATGAAAAATATACTGTTTTAATGCAACATGAAAAGACTATTTCAACTTGAAGGGAAAAGGGAGAAAGTATGGATGGATTCTGAATATTCTGGATTACCTCTTTACCTTTGGAAAAAGCTAGCACGTAATCCTGCAGGGAACGAATTTTCTTTGCGCTCTGGTTACTAACTGTAAATGCAGAAATTTAGCTTTTAACGGCTCCAGGCGGAAAAATGTCATTCTTCTCAAGAAAGACTCACTCCTGTTGAAATAATGTTCCCGTAAGTAGATAGCTTAATCGTTTCCCATCACTTTCAGTTGGGCTGATTTATGGTGTTAAGCATTGCCCTGTCATACACCCATTTTCAGAAATTTGTTTGACGTCAAATATAAAGCAATGGGACAGGATGTGGCTACAAAAGTGGTTATTGGATTCGCTGAAAAGCAGAACTTCCGACACAAAAGGTTACTTTCAGAGCCCTTAAGCGTGTGTTCTTATTAGTGCTAAAATAAACTAGTCGTTGTATCGTACAAGACTACATTGTTAGTCTTCCCTCTGTCTGACCTTCTTTTTGATTAGTGATAAATATATAGGAACTTTTATAAATTATTCCAAAAACTCTGTTTTTAGCACTGTGATATCTATCCGCATTGTTTTGTTTCACGTAAA